TATATATATATATATATATATATATATTTATTATATTATATATGCAAGCTCTGACCAAATATATTTATTATTTCTCTGGTACAACTGGCCAAAAATATATATAATTATTTAATGGAAGTTTCTTGATCTTACTACCTATCACCTCATACTAATAGTTTATGGGTTGGGAGACGTCTCAAGTCATTTATCTTTACCAGAAAACAAGACTTTCTTACTCAATTTTTATTTAGAATCGTACCAAAAAAGAAAAAAACTTATTGGAAAACAAATTAGCAAAATGCCTTGAACAAATTTTAAATTTTGAACTGGTCCACATCATTATCATATATAACAGACAAATGTTTAAGTATTTTAGTCAGCAAATCCAATGCCGCGGCAGCCTGCAGTGCTCTGCATGCTCCTCATGCAAATAGATATTTGATGTGATTTTTAATAAAGAAAAATTCCATCAACGGGTCTAGTCCGGTAGAAAAGGCTAAGAAAGAAAAGTTATCGTCGAAACGAATAAGAATATGTACCAACAAGTAATATTACAACCAAAAGAAGGTGTTTGTTATTTCTCTGTATTTTTCAACCTGACTATTTCAGTTCCAAAATGAATAACAGACGGAAGTAAAATACAAATCAAACGATCAAGATTGACGTCTCTTATTATCTTGCTCCCCTTGCATCGCTTGTTCAAGCCAAATCCAAGATTCCTCCATCAACTCAGGGCTGAGTCTGAACATCAGAACGCAAAACTCCATCTGGTTGAGAGCTCCATCGCCATCCATGTCACCTTCCCTCATCATGCTCACAAGCTCATCTTCTCTCAAATTCTGCAGACCAAGAAGAGCAGAGTTGCTCCTCAAGCTCTCCAATGTAATGACCCCTTTGTCCTTGTCCATCAGCAGCTGGAACCCATTGCACAGCTCTCTGATCAGGCCCTCCCCGCCAAGCTTGTCAGCCATCTCTGGCAGCAGATCCTCAAAATCATCAACAGCCCTCTTGCCAACTCCTGCCATTGATTGTTATTAGCTCTTGTTTCTTTTGATGTATTGGGTTTTTGGGTTTGTGAGGGAAACAATGAGAGTGAATGAATTTATACCATGTGAAAGGAAGGGGGAAGGAGAGTGGAAATTGGAAGGGGGATCTTGGAAAGAGGAAGGTTATGGTCTCCCCGTGTGGATGACAGCAATGGAACAGTGTGTTAATTGCTGGTCGGCTTTGATTCTTTACACCTGCAAGGGCCAGCGGCAATTTTATTTGCCTCCTGTGTTTCTCAGAAACTTGTAAAGGGTAATTTTGTCATTACATGTAAATAATGAAAATTGGTCCTATTTGACTTTCAACGCTCTTGTCGAAGGGGGTGCGATTGTCATTTCGGATTATCTTAGACAGTTAGACTTCAGAAACGGTTTTCCTACTTGACTTTTGGCTGTTTTACCAGTTGGGTGGGTGGAAGTCGGTTACATAAGTTAACGAAGTGTTCACATGAAATGAAGAAGAAAATGTAATCTTTTGGGTTTTTTGGGTCGGTTGTCATGTTTCCCAGAAAAAATGGAGGAACTCTTCTATGAAATTCTTTAGAAATGTAGGGCCGATTAAAGTTGTTAGCATTACAACCATTGGATTGAACTAAAAACAACTAGAGTAGAGCATTGTTTTAAGCATTCAGAGACTTTTGCTCAAATGCCTAGTTATTAAATTCGCATATTATACGTGGAATGATGTATTTTTTTTATTATAAAAAAAATACTTCTATTTTTCGTACACTTTTCAAGAACATAAAAATATACGGGGTTTTTTTTTTTATAAAATGAAATTGTATTATTCGTGTATTAAGGTAATTTGCACAAATAATACAGATTTTTCTGAATATTTTTAAAAAATACACATTTTATTCCCGCATTTTATTCATATTATGGAAAAAATGACTACAAATAATATTTATATATTTGCCAAAAATTACATCATACTTTTTCAAGAAAATTATCAAACAATACACAAAATATTTTATACGCATTATACTCGTCCAATATCTTTTTTTTGCGTTACATTGGAGTTCGACTCTGGAATTCAAACAAGGGTGCTATGGGGAAAAGGGGGAAGCGACCGCCACTATGGTGGGAACCCATTGATGGCTTGTCCCGTATTTTTAGGGAGACTTTGGAAAAACACAAAGGAGAGAGAAATTTTGTAAAAGAAGCTAAAATGGACAAAATTGCCCTTATTTATTTTTGGATTTCCTAAGGAATCCTTTATATTTGCATGTCTTTGATTTGAAGTTGAGAGGTTTTTCTGTCTTTTTTGAAAAAGCTTTGGCTTTTTTCAAAAGTGAAACTTTTTTTTTTGCTAAAACTTAAATTTACTTTTTATAAGTAATAATTATACTAACTATGCTCAAATGAGATAGTATGTGCAGAAAAGAATAAAAATAAGGCTAGGTTCGGGTTGACCCATCCCTGGGCTATGCGTTCTTCGAGCTTGGGCTTATGAACGTACCTAACTTGGGCCTATATGGATTCTGAACCCCAATGAAGGACATTGGCCCATCAAAAGATATTGGTCCAAGTCTTTGCATTACAGATTGTCAACGCTTGTCAGTGTCTTCCATTTTCCTTCATAAATCAAACTTCAAGTGTGTTGAAGCAATGAAACATTATTGAATTGAACCTCTATCGACCTTCTGGGATACTTATGGTGATTACATTGTTGGAGAAACTGGTAACTGCTGGGATACCGACAGCAGCGCGGGGGTAGTTCCTATGCATTGAAAAAGCAGGTTCTTTGGAGAGTGGAAGTGATGCAGCTTCATTTCCTTGCAGCATAAGAAAAACTGAAGACATTGTTGGCCGATCAGCTGGATCTTCTTGAACACACAAAAACCCTACATGCATACACTTTAGAGCTTCATGAGGCTCACATGCTTCCCTTACTGATTCATCAATCACCTCCATTCCTCTGCCTTCTTTCCACAACTCCCATGCCTAAGTGAGATTCAACATCAAAACCCATCAATCTTGTTCAAAAAAGAACAAAAAAGAACTATAATTTCTAATACTTACCCATCCCGCAAGAGTTCGGGAATTTTCAAAACGATAAAAAGAAGCATTCTTCTTTCCACTTACAATCTCCAACAGCAACACTCCAAAGCTGAATACATCCAGTTTCTCAGAGAAATGGCCATAGAGTGCATACTCAGGTGACATGTAGCCACTGTTCATGAAGTAACAGTAGAGGTAGAGAAGTAAGCAATAACAATGACTATTATTTGCATCAGGTTTTGTATATGGATGAAAAACATGTGTTCTTACTATGTCCCAACAACCCTGTTGGTATTTGCTTCAGTTTGGTTCATCCCAAAAATCCTGGCCATTCCAAAGTCTGAGATTTTGGGGTTCATTGATCCATCCAAAAGAACATTACTTGCTTTAAGGTCCCTGTGAATGATTTTCAGTCTAGAGTACTTGTGGATATAAAGTAGTCCCTGAGCAATACCTTCTATAATTCGAAAGCGTTTACCCCAATCTAATTCTGTTTTTTCCAACGGATCTGATTCAACAAACCATGGAGAATAATAAGCTAGGTGAATATTTTTCCGTTTTGTTTTGAAATTTTTTTTTTGACACACAGAGAAAGATACTGCATTACACCACTTTTGAAAACATGGGAAAAGATCTTGGAAAAAGGTAATCGGATTTGACGTCTCATAAATCAACAATATCAAAGAATTAATTTTAGCAGTGATGAGCATATATATACCAAACAAAAATTTGTCCAAACTTCGATTCGGCATGTACTCATAAATCAGTATCATTTCCTCCTTTTCAATACAGCAACCCAAGAGCCTAACAAGATTGGTGTGTTGGAGCTTGGCTATAAGCTTCAACTCATTCATGAACTCCTCATGTCCTTGCCCTGACTTCTTTGACAGCCTTTTTATGGCTACTTCTTGGAGTTCAGGCAAAATCCCCTGCAGTGGAAGAAAAATCCGATACACATTAAGACAATTACAACCTTACCAAATGAGAAGTAATGAGTGAAATTATTAAGAAATGTATAAAAGAAACTATCATATTTATAGCTCAATAGGACTATCAAAGTGTTACCTTATAAACAGGGCCAAATCCTCCCTCTCCCAGTTTATTAGCTTCAGAGAAGTTGTTTGTTGCAGCTAAAATTCTCCTTAAACGATAGAGTGGTAATCCTGCGTCATTCTTTCCACTTCCAGCACCATATTTCCTGTTCATTCTAATTGTTAAAGCAACCTTTGTTTGGATTACTAGACTCCGTATCGCTGAACATATGAAAGATAGACAGAGTGGTAAAGTACCTTCCCTTTCCCCAAGTCTTCTTCCATAAGAAATAACAAAAAATTATTGTAAGCAATCCTGCTGTTGCTGAGACTGTTGCAATTACTAGGGAGCGCTTATGACCTGCAAAGAAAACAAAAAGATCCAGTTGACAAATTAAAAATGATGGCTCCAAGTAATGGTCACTCCCCACAACACCAATAAACAGTTCCTTATTACTTTTGGGATTCTTGAACTCAGAAGCTGCAAGTCTGATGTACAAAGTCCTTCCATCACTGTCATCTGGTGAAAGTTGCTTTAGACCAAATAGATCTCCAGTCCAAATTGAACATCCAGCAGTGCTGCTGTAAGCATAAGCAGTGCAAGAGCAGTTACTTAAGCAGATTGATCTACATTGCTTAGCATAAGCAATACTATAGTGTTTATCTTCAACACTGGCAGGCAATGACATGCTAGGCATTTCTAGAAACCCGTCTTCTGTTCCAGTAACACCGACAGCATTCCCACATGGCAGAGTGGTTTTTCTTAAGCACCCACCTGAATAATCCTGCAAACTCCAATCCCTATGTGACTCTGGCTCAAACCCCATCAAACAACTACATAAAGGCAAGGATTTCTCATTGTAACTACTGAATGGTCCGCAAAAGGCATAAACCTTTGGTTTAGACCAAAACAAATTCCATTGCCTGGCGCTGGTAGTCTCCAACCATGTTAGCTGCTGAATTTGCCCTGAGGTATACATCATGTATCGAGATATTCTCTTAGGATCATAAAGAGAATAGGTAAAATAACTTTCATTTTCGTTTGTAACATAGCTGTAATTGAAAACATCATTAAGCGTCATCTCAGGATCCAAGCTGAATTTATCTGAATTTTCATCCCATGATCCACTAGTCCAATACTGTTGAGACTTATTCCACTGTATGATAAATGAGTTGATTCGCTTTGGGTCAAGCTCAAAAGAGAAAAGACCTGGTGCAGGATCCTCTGAATTCTTCCATGAAGTGAGAATCTGGCTTTGTTTGGTAATTTTGTTGAATCCGATTCTACTTCCTGGTAGCCATGTATCGGCTGGATGATCAAAACTTTGCCATAAAGGCTCTGATTTAGTACTAGCACTAGACCCATCAGCTCTTAAGACAAGGTTACCATTGTCTAAAAGAACTGCTTCTACAGAACCTGAGGCTGAGGTAGTGGTGGTGGAGGTCGCACTTGTGGACCAAACTGAACCTTTGGACTTACTGAAGAGAAGTAAATTACCATCTGATATTTTCAACACTGAAGAAAATCTATCAGAGATTGGCTGTTCCCTATTTGCCACCCACACTACGGTCCTAACAGAAACTTTTTTGTACCAGATGCCTATGTAGTAGTTTGAAGAATTACCTGGTTTGAAGAAACCCAGCTCAAAAACCCCACCTGCAGAGACAATGGTGTGATCGCCAGAGAGAGATTGGTTTGCAGTGATGGTGTCAGCTACAAGGCAAACATGGGTTTTCATATACAGGCATAAAAAAATAACAGACAACAAAAAATTTTGGTTGGTTTTGGTGTCCATGGCTGCACAAAAGCAAAATTGGCAAACAAGCTTACTTGATAAACCAGAACAGTCCAAGTCAGCCAAGTCAACTCGTGAAGTGTCTATGTCATACATAACCCCTTAATTCACCTCAACTATGTTACAAAAGCAAAATTGGCAAACAAGCTGTCTTCATTGAATGAAGTCGTTTAGCTTAGCTAGAGTCTTCCCTATGCTCCGGCCGTTCTGGTGTTTTTATTTTTTATTTTTTATACAATCGATAATTTACTCTAAATTAATTTAATTTATGAAAAGGAAGATCCACACATGATGTAAAGGAATTGAATTGAAAATTGTCGCCATAAAAGTTTCTTTTCTTTTTTTGGGTAAAAAATTTGGGGAGAATTTTTGGATGAAGGAGATGCGGAAGACAGTGGCAATGCTTGTAATTCAATTGAAAATTGTCGCCATCATATTTGTCTACCGTGCATCATGGTTTGGAAAATGGTACTTAATTTACAATGCAATTACCAAATCAAGGAAAAGTCCAAGGCTCTTCATTAATTTCTACAATAATCTTACGTACAAATAATCAATGAGGTCTCTTATTAAGGATAGACAAACCAACCAAAATATAAATTTTGAAAAGACTAAGAATCAAGAAAGAGAGAGGATTTGCTTTGTTTGTGGAAGAACCAATCATGTGGCTAAGGACTATTTTCACAAGAAGACTGAGGTGTACAGATCAAAGTCAAACTATGATTCCTTCATATGAAAGCTGTTCACACTAAGTGTAGGTTCAAGTCCTGAAGACACCTACACCCATTGCACGGTATACAAATTGCCCAAGTTTCCTCATCGTTACTTGTTTTTCATTTTGACTATTCCTTATGAAGTTTTGAACTTTGTGGGGGATTGTTAGTTATTTATTATTTTGTTTTATTTTATTTAAAATTCAAAACTTATGTTATATATTTAGCAATGATTGTTTATTTTAAGAGTCATATTTGTTGACCCAATAGACGTGACTTTATTAAAACGGTGTGTGGAGTCTTATAAATAAAGAACTCCTCGGACATGGAACAAACAATTCTCTGTTACTCTCATGCTCCATAAATGAATCACACTCATCATTCTCCATATCCTACAATTCTCTTTATCTATTTCTTGGGCAATCGATCAACACCTAGCATACTCGTCCGCCGTTGGCGTGCATAATGGACCAGACATCCTATGAGGCTTTTAGGTTGTATCTTGGAGTTGTAGGCACTGCTATAACCTGCATGTAGGAAGGTGTCTACGGCTTTAAGACAATATTTATCGTGCCTCTCTTAGGTTCACAAGCCAGACTTTCTTTCTTCTTTAATCTACCTATTGTTAATTGTGATTGTTTTAATTGGACGTATTTAATCTGTTTTATATTTACAAAAATCTGCATTAAGTTGAATTTGATCGAGTATGTCATTAAGGTTGTTGATTTAAAGAAGCTATATAGCTTTAAGTACAATGACAGGCACTCTGTTATCTCTGAGTACCTATGTATTAATAATTGTATTTAGTGTATTTATGAGTTGTGATTATGTACGCGCCAAAGATGAATGATATAGAAGTTGATAGAACAAATTCTCGTCTTTCTCTCTGCAATCTTTCATTAATATAACAATAATATATATATATATATCAGTTCATTTTTATTGAGGAATCTCTCAAATAAAATTATTTGAAAGATGCCCTTTAGGATACCTTACAATTTTTTTCCAATGATCAAAACCATCTATTTTTTAGGTCTTTATTCATAGATCATCCTTACAAAAAAATTAGACAAATCGGAAACCATTTAGACATCTAATTGTGTCCTACAAAATCAATGAACATATTACTTCAAGAAAGTACTAAAATTTCAATAATTTTATTGAGTGATCCCATGAATTTTTTTATTTGAGGGACACCCTTTAGGGTACCCTATGAATTTTTTTCAACAATCCAAACCACCTATTTTTTAAGTCTACATTCATAGATCATCCTTGCAAAAAATTAGACAAATAAGAAACCGTTTCGACATCCAATTGTATCATACGAAATCAATGAAAACGGTGCTTCAAAAAAGTAATAAAATTTCAATAACACAATTGCGTGATATCGGATTCAAGTGATTTTTTGTAAAAATAATCTTTGAATGATTATCTAAAACATAGACGGTTTGTATTAATGAAATACAATACGGAGTGGACCATATAAGGGTGTCCCTCAAATAAGTTTGTTGAAAAAATATTGATCAGCTTGCCTGAAAAATATGATCCCATTGTTGCTGCTATTGAAGAGTGCAAGGACATCACTCACGCTCCTTGTTTCACCCAAACAATTCTTTTAATTATTATAACCAGCAAAAAACAAATAAAACTAAAAACAAAGAAAGTAGGGTTACACGTTGTCTTCATCCCAGCCACCATCTACCCCTTCATCCCCTTTCTCTCTTCCTCTTCCTCGTTCTTCCCCCTCAGTCATCTTCATCCCCTCATCTCTTCCGTAGTACATGAAATTAAAGGATGAGTGTTAAAATCATTCGCCTTTATAAATCAAGGAAAGTTTAATCTCATTGGGACTTTACCGTTAGATTTACAATTATGCTATAACATTCCCATACTTCCTCACGAGTCACATTCTAATCCAGTTTGAGTAAAACAAGGGCCATGTGAGTGAGGGGATGAAGATGGCCGATGGCCCAGGGTGATAGGTGCTGGTTTAGTTGTATTCATGTCATTGGCCCATATGGCAAGAGAATAATGGTCCACGTGGCAGCCTTCTCACCTTTCAATTGTTATTCAGTTGTGGGATTGTTAGATCAGTTTGTTAATTCAGTTTTGGGTTTGTTAGATTGGTAGTTAAGGCCGCGGTTTAGGCGCGAATATTAGTTACAGTTGCTAACCCAGTTTACAAGCTGGTTTTGTAAGGCTTTTTTAGTCGTGAATTGTTTTGGAAATGTTCTGAGTTAATAAAGCTACTCGTTTTGCTTACACGAGTCAAGGTTGAGACCATTGCTATAGTTTCTTGGTTTCCGTTTGCCTTCTTGGTCAATTAATCCCTTTTCCTTTCCTCCTCCTCATCCTCATCCTCATTTTACATCTCCATATTTTAAGGGGTTGATCAAGAAATCTATCCAAAATTATGAAGGAAATTTGAAACAAATTGAAATCTATCCAAAAAATCACATAAATCCAATATCATTTAATCATTCAATTAAATTATTGAAATTTAAACACTTTTTTGAAGCACCGTGTTCATTGATTTTATTAGTCTCAATTAGATGCCTTAATGATTTTCAATTTGTCTATCTTTTATTTTTATTTTTTATTTTTTTTGCAAGAATGATCTATGAATGAAGACTTGAAAAATAGACAGTTTGAATCGTTGAAATTTTTTTTGTAAGGTATCCTAAATGGTGTCCCTCAATGGAAGGGAACTATATATATATATATATATATATATATACAAAAAAATAGTATTGCTGATTTCTTGCAATTGTCACAACGTTTTGCTTTTTAGTTTATATACCTAACATTAAATGTGTTGAGGGAAGGAAACAAATATTGGAACCTCTATCGACCGTCTGGCAAACTGATGGTGACTGCATTGTTGGAAAAAAAGGCAGGTAATTGAGAAGAAGAACCAACAGCAGGTATGGAATTCCTGTTAGTTGAAAAGGCGGGTTCCTTGGACGGTGGAAGTGATGTGGCTTCATTGCCCTGCAATATACGAATTACAGAAGCCATTGTTGGTCGATCAGCTGGAGCTTCCTGAACACACAAAAACCCTATATGGATACACCTCGAAGCTTCATCAGGGGGGCATGTTTCTCTTACTGATGCATCAATCACCTCCATTCGTCTACCTTCTTTCCACAATTCCCATGCCTAATTAAGATTTAAAATACTTAAAACTTCAATTTTACGGTTAATCACAAATTTACAAGGCATAAAAACAGAAAGGAGCGTAGATAGTTTAGAATTATTAATACTTACCCATCCAGCAAGAGTTGGTGAATGTTCAAAGCGATAAAAAGCAGCATTCCTCTTTCCACTTACAATCTCCAGCAACAACACTCCAAAACTAAACACATCTAGTTTCTCAGAGAAATGGCCATATCTTGCATACTCTGGCGACATGTATCCGCTGCATGAATTGATGGTAGAGAATAGAGATGTAAGCTATAGCAGTGACTGCATAAGGTTTAGTAAATGAATGAAAACATGTCCTACATATATATATACTTACAATGTGCCAACAACCCTGTTGGTATTTGCTTCAGTCTGGTTTATCTCCAAAATTTTAGCCATTCCGAAGTCTGAAATTTTGGGGTTCATTGCTCCATCCAACAGAACATTACTTGCTTTCAGGTCCCTGTGAATGATTTTTAATCTAGAATACTTGTGGATATAAAGTACTGCCTGAGCAATACCCTCTATAATTCGAAAGCGTTTTCCCCAATTTAATTCTGTATTTTCAGATGGATCTGGTAGGACAAACCATGAAGAAAATTATTCTTTTTATTATAGATGAAATGCTGGACAAATGGAAAAAGATCTTGCATTACACAACTTTTGCGCATTGAAAAGGATCTTGCTAAAAGGTAATCAAATTTGAGGTCCCAGAAATCAACAATATCAAAGAATCAATCTTAGGAGGAATGAGGATATACCAAACAAAAGTTTGTCCAAACTTCGATTGGGCATGAACTCATAGATCAAGATCAGTTCCTCCTCCTCAATACAGCAACCTAATAGCCTAACAAGATTGGTATGCTGGAGCTTGGCTATAAGATTTAACTCATTCATGAACTCCTCATGTCCTTGCCCTGACTTCTTTGACAGTCTTTTTATGGCTACTTCTTGATTTTCAGGCAAAATCCCCTGCAGTGGAAGGAAAATCAAACACAAAGTGAACCACAATCCCACCAATCAAACTTAATTAGGAAAAAGGTTATTCAGTGAACCAAAAAGTACAAATATTTATGTAAGAACAACTAATGTACTATAATTACCAACACAAAGTGGAAGAGTCACCTTATAAACAGGGCCAAATCCTCCCTCTCCCAGTTTATTAGCTTCAGAGAAGCTGTTTGTTGCATCTAATATACTCTTTAAACAGAAGAGTGGTAGTTCTCTGTCATTTTTTCCGCCTCCAGCACCATAATTTATTTTAGTCACACCATACTTCCTCCTCTGCTTCCTGTTTCAGTGTTTGGTAGAGCATGGATCATTTGTTTAGAGAATCCTTGTGAATGCACGAGTGCGTGTGTGTGTGTGAGAAAGAGAGACAGAGTGGTGGCAATACCTTCCCTTCCCCAATCTTTTCTTCCATAAGAAATAGAAAAAATATATCGTAAGCAACCCTGCTGCTGCTGAGACCATTGCAATTATAAGGGAGCGCTTATCCGCATCACCCTTGCCATCTGCCAAAAATATATATATATATATATATTTCAGGTTGACCAATTAAGATTTAACTCATTCATGAACTCCTCATGTCCTTGCCCTGACTTCTTTGACAGTCTTTTTATGGCTACTTCTTGATTTTCGAGCAAAATCCCCTGCAGTGGACGGAAAATCAAACACAAAGTGAACCACCATCCTACCAAGCGAACTTAATTAGGAAAAAGGTTGTTAAGAGAACCAAAAAGTATAATATTTATGAAAGAATAACTAATGTACTTTAATTACCAATACAAGGTGGAGGAGTCACCTTATAAACAGGGCCAAATCCTCCCTCTCCCAGTTTTTTAGCTTCAGAGAAGTTGTTTGTTGCATTTAAATACTCTTTAAACCGAAGACTGGTAGTTCTGTGTCATTCTTTCCACTTTCAGCACCATAATTTATTTTAGTCACACCATACTTCCTCCTCTGCGTCCTGTTTCAGTCTTTGTTAGAGCATGGATAATTTGTTTATAGAATCCGTGTGAATGCACGAGTGTGTTTGTGTGTGAGAAAGAGAGACACCACCAACAATTATTCCCTTATTACTTTGAAGATACATAAGCTCAGAAGCTGCAAGTCTGATGTATAAAGTTCTTCCACCAGCATCATCTGCCACAAGTTCTTGCACACCCAGGAGATCTCCAATCCAAATTGAACATGCGTTACTGCTTTCATAAGCATAAGCAGTGCAAGAGCAGTTATTTAAGCAGATTGATTCACATTCCTTAGCATTCCCAACCTTAACATGCAGTTCATTTTCAGATATTGACATGCTATGCATTTCTAGAAACTGGTCTTTTGTCCCAATAACACTTGTTGAATTCCCACACTGCAAATTGGTTTTTCTTTGACACCCACCAGAGTAATCCTGCAAAGCCCAATCCCGGGGCGACCTCTGCTCAAAACCCATCAAACAATTACACAAGACCCCGGATTTTTCATTGCAGCTCCCAAATGCCCCGCAAATAGCATAAACTGCACATTGCTGTCTTGGTTCAGACCAATACATTTTCCGTGGCCTGGAAGGCGTAAACCAAATTAGTTGCTGAACCTGCCCCAATACTGACATCATGAATGGAGATGCTTTCTTAGGATCATAAAGCGAATAGGTGAAATAACTTCCGTTTTCATTTGAAACAAAGCAGTAGTTGTAGACGTAATTATGCCTCATGTCAGGAACCAAGCTGAAAAGATTTGAACTTGCATTCCAAGATCCACTATTGAAATACTGTCTAGACCTATTCCACAGAAAGATATATGAATTGCTTCGGTCTAGCTTAAGAGAGTAAAGACCTGGTGCAGGGTCCCGTGAGTTCTTCCATGAAGTGAGAATTTGGGTTTGATTGGTAACATTGTTGAATCCAATCTTGGCTCCTGGTAGCCATGTATGGGTTGGATGATCAAAGCTTTGCCATAAAAACTCAGATGAACTAGAATGAGCTCTTAAGACAAGATTTCCACTATCTAAAAGAACTGCTTGCACAGAAGCAGAGGTGGTGGTGGAGGTCAAATGTGTGGACCAAACTGGAGTTTTGGCCTCATTAAAGAGAACTAAATTGCCATCTTTGATCTTCAACACCGATGAAAATCTATCAGAGATAGGTTTTTCCCTATTTGCCACCCAAACTATGGTACTCGCAGATACCACTCGGCCGGAATACCAGGTACCCATGTAGTGGCGGCCACCTAATTCGAAGAACCCCAGTTCAAAATCCCTGGAGACGATTGTCTGGTCACCGGAGAGAGATTGGTTTGCAGTGATGGTGTCAGCTGCAAAGGAGATACGGGACTCGAGAAATAGGCACAATAAAACAACTATAAACGCCAACATTGGGTTGGTTTTGGTATCCATGGCTGCACTATGAATTTGCACACAAGAAAGATAATGTCATGCGTCTAAAATGACAACAACGAGAATTAAGCATTGCTCTCAAACTTGTGATAAATTTTTCACTATACTTTCACGAATGCCAATTACTTTGAATTTCTTATAATTTTTATTTCGTGAATTTGTGATGGGTGTGTCTAGAAGCAAAATAATTTATGTTTTTGTCATACATGTTACTTTTCAAAGAACATCTTTTTCCATCTAGGGGATACTCAATTCAAATACTTCACGTATTAAAATGTTAGAGAGAGACTAGCTTAGTTTCCTGGTATTTTACTCAAAACACGTGTGTGGCTCCCCCAATTTCTTTATTATTGTTTCTCACTTTCGTTACTAAGCTCTACTTGGAGGACGGTTTCAAAAACTCTACTTGAGGGGGTGGTAAGGTAAATCCAATTTAAGAATATTCAACCATTTGGGTTAGGTTTGGTATCCATGGCTGCACAAAAAAATTGCAATAGTTGAATACCAGCTGAACATTCCAAGTCAACAAAGTCAACTATTGAAGGGTCTACGCTCCGTTCTCTCTTTTGTTTTAAGCATTCATAGACCAAATAACTTGCCTTTCTAAATGTTATAACTTTTTAGGTATACAGTTCTGTTCATGTTCATTGCTCTGCAATGTGTAAAGATCTAGGAATATTTGTTCAGTGAGGCTTCTTTTTAAGTTTCTCACACCTGAACCAGACCAATATAAGTTGTGAAGCACTTTCGTAACTTCGTTTACTTAAATAATAAAAAAGAGTCTTGGACATTGCCAAAGTCTTGCACACTTGATTGTGAGTACTCTTGTCACAGAGTTTTCATTTTTCGTTTATATATCCAACAATAAATGTGTATAGGAAAGGTAACATTTTTGAGCTTCTATCGACCTTCTGGCAGACTAATGGTTACTGCATTATTGGAAATAATGGGAGTTGTTTGAGGAGAAGAACTAACAGCAACGGAATTCCTATGTGTTGAAAAAGCAGGTTCTTTGGAGGGTGGAAGAGATGTAGCTTCATTGGCCAGCATAAGAATTACAGAAGACATTGTTGGCCGATCAGCTGGATCTTCTTGAACACACAAAAATCCTACCTGTATACACTTCAAAGCTTCATCAGGCCGGCATGTTTCCTTCAGTGATGCATCGATCACCTCCATTCCTCTACCTTCTCTCCATAATTCCCATGCCTAATTAAGATTCAACATGTAAACCCATTAGTCTTGCATGACTGGTCACATACTTATAAATTTTTCAGGCTTAGGATACATTAGAATTTTTAATACTCACCCATCCAGCAAGAGTTAGTGAATGTTCAAAGCGATGAAAAGCAGCATTCTTCTTTCCACTAACAATCTCCAGCAGCAACACTCCAAAACTAAACACATCCAGTTTCTCAGAGAAATGGCCATATCTTGCATACTCAGGTGACATGTAGCCGCTGCATAAATTGACGGTAGAGAAGTAAGCCAAAGCAATGATTGCATAAGATTTCAATGATTGAAAACCTGTGCCATATATATATATTTACTTACTATGTGCCAACAACTCTGTTAGTATTTGCTTCGGTTTGATTTATCTCAAAAATCTTTGCCATTCCAAAGTCTGAAATTTTGGGGTTCATTGCTCCATCCAACAGAACATTACTTGCTTTCAGGTCCCTGTGAATGATTTTCAATCTGGAATACTTGTGGATATAAAGTATTCCTTGAGCAATACCTTCTATAATTCGAAAACGTTTTCCCCAATCTAGCTCTAATTTTTCAGATGGATCTGATTGGACAAACCATGGAGAAAAATGAGCTTAATTAGTGATTTTGATTTACTTTAGAAAAAAATGTTAAGACACATTGAAGAAGATCTTGCATTACATGGGTTTGCAAAAACGTAATCAAATTTGAAGTCCCAGAAATCAGCAATATGAAAGAAATAATCTTAGAAGTGCTGAGAACATACCAAACAAAAACTTGTCCAGACTTCGATTGGGCATGAACTCGTAGATCAAAATCAGTTCCTCCTCTTCAATACAGCAACCCAAGAGCCTAACAAGATTGGTGTGTTGGAGTTTGGCTATAAGCTTTAACTCATTCATGAACTCCTGGTGTCCTTGCCCTGAATTCTTTGACAGCCTTTTGATGGCCACTTGATTTCCAGGCAAAATCCCCTGTAGTGGAAGAAAAATCCCACACATAAAGAGAAGTTATAGAGAACCACCTCCTTATAAGAAATGTATAAATGAAACTATGAGATTTATAGGTCGGTGGTATTATGAAAGTGTTACCTTATAAACAGGGCCAAACCCTCCTTCTCCCACCTTATTAGCTTCAGAGAAGTTGTTAGTAACAGCTAATATACTCCTTAAACTGAAGAGTGGTAGCTCTGTATCATTCTTTCCGCCTCCATCACCAACATTACTTAAAATTTCATCATATTTCTTCCTATGCTTCCTATTTCATTATTATTTAGTCAGATCATCATTTGTTAGGATTACAAGAATCAGTGTGCAAGCAAGCGAGAGAGGGAGAGAGAGTGATAGCAGTACCTTTCCTTTTCCAATGTTTTAGTCTCACCATTCTTCCTCCTACGCTCCCTGTTTCATTCTTATTGTTAGAGTATCTTTTTTTGGATTACAAGAATCAGTGTCCCTGCAAATGAGTGCGCGTGTGTTTTCTTCCAAAGGAAATAGCTTTACCTTTCCTTTCCCCATGTTTTCTTCCATAAGAAATAGCCAAAAGTTATTGTAAGCAATCCTGCTGTTCCGGAGACTAATGCAATCACAAGGGATCGTTTATTAGCATTAACACCTGCAAAGAAAACAAAAGAGAAAGATCAAATTTATTTTAATTAACACACTAACACGATGGCTCGCCAAGTAATCATTTCCTCATTACTTTTAAGCAGTGGAAGAGCAGATCCAAGTCTGATGTATAAAGTTGTTCCATTCCTTTCACCTGTTCCCAGTTGCTGCAAATTTAAGAGATCTCCAGTGAAAATTGAGCATCTAGTGCTGCTATCATAAGCATAAGCAGTGCAAGAGCAGTTGTTTAAGCAGATTGGATGACATTCAGAAATATTTCCAACCACCACAGACTGTTTATTTTCTGGCAATGACATGATACGGATTTCTTGAAACACGTCTGGCTCCCTATATTTAGCACTAGTACTAACATCAGTCCCACAGTACTGCAGGTTGGTTATTCTTGAACACCCACTAGAATAAGCCCGCAAATTCCACTCAATCTCTGACTTTGGCTCAAAACCTGTCAAACAATTACAGGAGACCGTGCTTATGTCGTTGCAACTGCCGAATGCCCCGCATAAACCATAAACTTCACATTGCCTTTTTGGTTGGCTCCCAAACACATTCCACTCTCTGGAATTCTCCGACCATGTGAATTGCTGAATCTGCCCTGAGGTATGCATCACGAGTCGAGATATTGTCTTGGGATTATTTAGAGAATAGGTGAAATAACTTTCGTTTTTGTTTGTAACATAGCTGTGATTGTACATATGGTTAAGCCTCATCTCAGGAATCGCGCTGAAAATACGTGAGTTTGCATCCCATGCTCCACTGCTCCAATAGACTCTAGACCTATTCCAAAGTATGAGACATGCACTACTTCCATTGGGGTCAACCTCAAGAGAGAAAAGACCTGGTGCAGGATCCTCTGAACTCTTCCATGATGTGAGAATTTGGGTTCGATTAGTGGCAATGTTGTATCCAAGTTTACCTCCTGGTATCCATGTATGAGCTGGATGATCAAAGCTTTGCCACAAAGGTTCTGATGTATTAGTACTTGACCCATCAGCCCTTAAGACAAGGTTTCCACTATCTAATAGAACTGCTTGTACAGAACCTGAGGTGGTGGTGGAGGTTAAATTTGTGGACCAAACTGGAGTGTTGGATTCACTGAAGAGAATTAGATTACCCTCTGAGATCCTCAAGACTGAAGAAAATATATCAGAAACTGGTGTTTCCCTATTTGCCACCCAAACTATGGTCTTAACAGATACTTTCTTGTACCACATGCCTATGTAGTAGTAGTTTGAGAAAATACCTGGTTTGAAGAAACCCAGCTCAAAAACCCCACCTGCAGAGATAATGGTTTGATCACCCGAGAGAGATTTGTCTTCACTGATGGTGTCAGCTGCAAGGGATATATGGGACTTGAGAAATAGGCATAATAAAAGAATGTTGAACACGAATTTTGGGTTACTTTTGGTATCCATGGATGCACAAAAAATTTTCAGACAACCAAGATGCTGTATGGTACTAGAATTGAACATTTATGGAAAAAAATATAGCAATACTTGAAGCCAGCTGATCATTCCAAGTCAACTAAGTCAACTGTTGAAGGGTCAAGTAAGAGCATCCACAATGGGTTCCCTAAACCATCTTCTTAAACAAATTTTAGAGAAAAATTGAAAAAATACAACTTCAACCATGCTCCTATCCACTTCTTAAAATAGGGAGACCTCTAGGAGCTTCTAAATATGAGGAGAGAGAAAGAACTCCTAGTGACTTCCTATAATTTAATGCTGTTTTATTTAATGAGTATTTCAAACCTTTAATTAATGCTAATTATTTTTTAATAGAGATGGACCAATTAAAAAAAAATTTATAGCATTTATGACTCCATAAACTAGAAAGCATGATTGAAGTTTAAATTTTATAGAGAGTTCCTAAAATAACTTTTTTATGTTTTTAGCTAAAATTTAACTGAAAAATAGAGAGCATGATTGTAAATGCTCTAACACACCTACAGTTGAGTCGTTTGGCTTTAGTTAGTCCAGCATTTGTGGACAAAGGTCATCCACCATGCTTCGTTGTCTCTTTAGTTTGCAGCCTGCCCTTTTTGGCGTTTAGCCATTGGATTGAATCCAACGAGCGTTAACCTTGCAGGCTTCTGCATTTGCGGCCGATCCGCTGGGTCTTCTTGAACACAAAAAAAATCCTACCTGTATACACTTCAAAGCTTCAACTGTCCTGAGGTGTTCATCACGAATTGAGCTATTTTCTTCGGATCATAAAGAGAATAGGTGAAATAAGTTTCATTTTCTTTAGTAAAATAACTGAAATTGTAGACATAATTGAGCCTTATTTCAGGAACCAAGCTGAAACTACTTGAACTTGCATCCCATGATCCAGTGGTCCAATACTGTCTAGACCTATTCCACAGCCCAAGATATGCATTGCTTCCATTTGGATCTAGCTCAAGAGAGAAAAGACCTGGTGCAGGATCCTCTGAACTCTACCATAAAGTGAGAATTTGGGTTCGTTTGGTAACATGGTTGAATCCAAGTCTACTTCCTGGTAGCCATGTATGTGTTGGATGATCAGAACTTTGCCATAAAGGCTCAGATGAACCACCTCTTAATAAGACAAGGTTTCTATTATCCAAAAGAAGTGCTTGAACAGAACCAGTAAGTGGTGGTGGAGTGCAAATTTGTTGACCAAATTGGAGCTTTGGACTCACTAAAGAGAACCAAATTACCATCTGAGATCCTCAGCTCTGAAGAAAATCTATCAGAGACTGGTTGTTCCCTATTTGCCACCCAAACTATGGTCTTAACAGATACTTTCTTGTACCACATGCCTATGTAGTAGTAGTTTGAGACATTACCTGGTTTGAAGAAACCCAGCTCAAAAACCCCACCTGCAGAGACAATGGTTTGATCACCAGAGGGAGATTGGTTTTCACTGATGGTGTCAGCTGCAAAGGAAACATGGGTTTTGACATACAGGCATAACAAAAGAACTGAAAGTGAAAGCACCAACCTTTGTTTGGTTCTGGTATCCATGGCCGCACAAAACAAATTTGCAGACAAATTTACTAGAAGCACACTGCTCACTCAACTTCTTCATCGTTGTTTATCACTTTCCTTACTGAGTTCCAGTTGGAGGAGACGGTCCTCTTCGTTTTTCGTTTTTCGTTTTCATCTCCCTCCTCCTCTGTCAATCCTGTGAACTGAAATCTCAGCCAATTAAGAAAAATCATTGTTTTAGTTCTATTTAAATGGGTTTCATCAGTTGAAGGGATTTGCATAAATGAGAAAATGTGAGAGGATCCAACTTTGTATGAGAGGCTGATGAGATGAGGGAATTTTTGTTTTGCTTTTTTACAAGTTTTAATAATTTAATAATATTTATAATTGAGCTAATAAAAATAATCTTGAAAATGCATTCATGTGTCCAATTATTTTGCCAATAATAATATTCTTGAACAAGTGAGTTAAATTAAATTCAGGACACAAGTAAAAATTAAAAGAGAAAATTTTTCTTAAATGGGAGGACCCAAGATCAAGTTGCCAACCATGCATTATTGGATCACATTTCTTTCCTTTTCTTATGATGTGACAAAATAACCATCGCCTATGGTCCTATCTATGAGAGCAAATTTAATGGGATATGTTGCTTTTTCTTCCTATCACACATTTTCTCATGCTTTTCTTTATTTTTCTAAAACACCCCCATACATTTTGATTGTGGGGCTATAGCTTTGGGCCAAGCGGAACCAAAAAAACACCAAATCTCTATGAGTTTCCACAACAAACAGGCTGTCTCTTGACCCAGAAACTAGGGCTGGGATCTGGACATCAAAAAATTGAGAACCCCAAAGATACATGCATTATTGAAGCAGCTTTGAGGTGTATCCATTGGGGCCTTAAACTGAACATCCAGTTTTGTGGTAAGTGGATATTCCACTGCATGCAATGTAATTGTAAGTGAAATAAGTTTCCTTTTTAGTTTGAAGAAAGACGAGTTCGAAAACCCCACCGCAGCCGCAAAGACAATGGTCTGATCACCAAACTGAGAGAATGGTTTGCAGTGAGGTCCATGGCTGCACAAAAAGAAAAATAAAATAAAAAACTAAAAAATTTGCTCACTATAGCAAAGATAAAGTTCAATTTAAGAAACCCACCACATAAGTCAAGAACTAGATTTTGGGTTGTTGGGATTTGAAATACTAGTACGGTAGGACTGTAGTACGGTCACGTGATACATCTTGTATATGTGTTCAATAGCCTCTTCAATCACTTTGGGATGCACAAATAAGTGAGCCACATCATAAAAAATCTCTCTAACAGCCTTGTCAAACTCAGTCATCAAAGCTGCAAACTGTTTTTCTCTCTTCAAGACTGGTAAGTTGATTTTGGCTCTTCAAAACATTTAATTTTACTTTGGAAAAACAAAACATACCTTGAAAATGTCAAAAACATGTATTTTTTCTTTTCAGATAATAAATACATATATTTCTCATTCTTTTCCATGTTATTGCATTAATTGAATTGTTTGTTGGAGCAAAAAATATTCAAGTAGAAAATAAACTTTTTCAAATTACCACATAGGTCAACAAACTTTAATTTGCAACTACTATTGGAGATGTTCTTATAATATAAGAGGATATTTATTGATACTATTTTCTAAAAGAGAGGAAAATAAACAATGTCGTCCACATATATTATAACACGTGTATTTGTACCAAGTGACCATACTATCGTAGTATTTTATAATTTCTCCAACTCCGAACAAGAGAGTTTATTTGTTGTTGTTGTTGTTTTTTTTTTCAAGTTTTATTCATGAGTTAATATTTGTGATTACTAATAAATATACTCTTAAAAATGAAAATCTCGAAAAGTACAATAATATGATGGGATCGACTGTTCCATTCACAAAAGAATTTCAAGTTTTAAAGCCACTTAAACTACAACTCAAGAATTACAAGCAAGACATGATTCAAGAAAAATAAATATTATATTTTATGTTTTAACTAAACAGTGCATGTGACGTAATTTTTGACGTAAAATGTCTGAACTTCTATTTAATATTAGAGAGAGAGAGAGAGAGAGAGAGAGAGAGAGAGAGAGAGAGAGAGAGAGAGAGAGAGAGAGTGAGAGTGTTAGCGAGGAAGTAGGGGTCCAGAGGCATCCTCATGTTCATTCATTGGCGACTAAAAGTAAAATGGAAACTTAAAATTCAAAGTTTCAGCCGATATTATGGAATGGGATTTGTCAATCGATAGCTAGAGAGACTTGGTCGCCTGAAGGGAGAGAGGCTGTACTGTACGTGCAACGGCTCCAGATTCATCCATCTTCTCCGTTAGTGTCTAAAAGTCCAATATTATAGGTAAGCTTTTCTGTAAATGAATAAAATAAGAGAAAAATGAGTGGGAAAATCACCCATCTTTCTTTATCCAAATCCCTCCTATGGCTTCCTGCAACAAATAATAATGTCAACTGAGAAGACTATGGTTAAGTCGGTCAACCATGCATGCATTTACGTACAACAACCGGACAATGTATATGACTAGACCACGTTGGTACTTGTAGTATTATCAACCAATTTCTTATGCTTTTATTTTTTGTTTTACATAATGTAGTACCCAAAATCTATTGCATCAGTTTAATGATGTACAGTTGGCACATATGACACTTTACACGTTGGTACTGCACGCCTCGCACTTTCAATTCAATGATAAGTTGGCACATTTATACGTTTCACACGTTGGCACAAAAATATTCTTGACAGTTGGCACAGTTATATACTTTACACGTTAGTGTATACGTGTGTAAGTCGCCGCGTATGACTGCCCTCATTTGCCACATAATTCACACTTGGGCAAACAGAACTGACAGTTGATACGTGCACTTGACAGTTTTGTGCATACTTTCTCCTACGTTGGGGAGTTATGGTAAATTTTCCAGCTCCCCAATTTACAGTTTACAGCGCCAAGGGTCCACACGTCACACGGAGAGAGATGCTGGCCTCCAGCACATTTGTCTTTCCTCAGATGGTTTCTGAATCTGATTCATTGGGCTAATCCGAAACTTGTAGGAGCCGTCCAAATATGATTACTTTTTTGGGCATACAGTAGCTGCTCTTCCCCTTTCCGTAGGTTTTGGCACGATCCTTATACGGATAAGGGATGAAATTCTTGCCCTATTGATATAGTACTTGCAAGCATTTTTTTCCTTTGGAAATTTGGAAAACCAATCTCTGTTTAATAGGGGCTAAAGACCAAATCTTAGCCTTATTTTAACACATTAAAGGCTATTAACGGTTATGATTTAGAAATATATCGACTTCATCAGTGTTCTAATCGAAGAGAAATATTTGCATGTTACGGGTGGTTAAAAAAAAAGTTAAGTCTTTAATATTTCAAAATTTAGCTATTTTTCATAATGTTATTTTCTTTATTTTTATAATTTTGTGGGGGAAATAAACTACTACTATTTACATCCTCAAGCAACCAAGTTGAGGTGTTGAACAGGTTTCATATAAACACCACAGGTAAGAGAAATTAATCATGCTTTGAAGTATCTGCACCAATCTCTCTTTTCTTCTTTACAAAATAAGGTTGAGATTCCTAGAGAATAATTTTTAATTTTTTTAAATTAAACCATGGAGTTAAATTAGATTTTTATTTTAATCCTTCGGTTAGTACATTATCACGTTACGTAAGTAATACTTTACAATTATGTATATTTTCATAATAATGCACCTAATATTTAAATGAACAAAAAAATGTAATCTAACACCAGGGTTTAATAACAAAAGTAATACTTTGTGAGGATGGATTGTCAAATTCTTGAACATTTGATTCCCACTAGTCGTCAATGTGTTTCCTTTTCGTTTAAATATTAGATATGAGAAAAACAGTCCCGATCTCTTGGACTACAGGGGTCCAAGAGATTTGTAGTCACTCACTGTTGAATGTAAATTCAACGGTTCACTCACTCTTGCACTCCTTTTAAGAATTTTTTTTTGAATCTTAGCTCCAATAATAAGATGCAAATACAAGTTCTAGAGGTTGTTTAAATACTTAAACCAAAACCTTAGCTCCAAGAATAATTATTAAAACAAAAATAAAAAATATTAAATTGCACGAAATTGACTAAAACCTTAGAAGGCTATTTTCACCTAACATAATCCATTGCTAGAAGAAGCTCAAACATGTTTTTGTTGGCTTGCGCTTGTCAATCTGCTGCATGCTAGTTATTCTACAATAATTATATATGTGCTGAACAAAAGGAAGTCTATCTGCCTACTTCCGAACTAATGGTGATCACATAATTGTTGGAAAAAATGGGAGATGTTTGAGGAGAAGAAGCAATCGCAATGGAATTCCTATGAGCTGATGAAAAAGCAGGTTCTTTGGAGGGTGGAAGTGATGCAGCTTCGTTGCCCTGCAGCATGCTAATCACAGAAGACATTGTTGGCCGATCGGCTGGAGCTTCTTGAACACACAAAAACCCAACATGGATACACCTTAGAGCTTCATGAGTGTCACATGCTTCCCTTACTGATTCATCAATCACCTCCATTTCTCTGCCTTCTTTCCACAATTCCCATGCCTAATTAAGATTTCATTAGGACCATTCACTTTAATTGCAAACTTGAAAGGATTAAAAACAGAAGGACGACATATACATACTAGCTAGAATAATTTCTAGTTTATATATACTTACCCAACCAGTAAGCGTTAGCGTAGGATCAAAACGATGAAAAGAAGAATTCCTCTTTCCACTTACAATCTCCAAAATCAACACTCCAAAGCTGAACACATCCGATTTCTCAGAAAAATTGCCCAAGAGTGCATACTCAGGTGACATGTAGCCGCTGCACATGAATTATAATGGTAGACAAAGTAAGCAACAACAATTAAAGACTAACATTTTGCATCATCAGGTTTAGTACATGAATAATGCAAAAACATGTGCTATATATGTCAACTTACTATGTCCCAACAACCCTGTCGGTATTTGCTTCAGTTTGGTTCATCCCAAAAATCCTTGCCATTCCAAAATCTGAAATTTTTGGGTTCATTTCTCCATCCAACAGTATATTACTTGCTTTTAGGTCCCTGTGAATGATTCTCAATCTGGAATACTTGTGGATATAAAGTACTCCTTGAGCAATGCCTTCTATGATTCGAAACCGTTTACCCCAATCCAATTTTATCTTTTCATATGGATCTGAATAAACAATACATTTAAAAAGATGTTGCAAAAATTAGCTAATCAAATTTGATGTCCAGGAAATCAACAACATCAAAGAATATCTCAAAGGTGATGAACATGTATATACCAAACACAAGTTTGTCCAAACTTCGATTGGGCATGTACTCATAAATCAGTATCATTTCCTCCTCTTCATTACAGCAACCCAAAGCCTAACAAGATTGGTATGTTGGAGCTTGGCTATAAGCTTCAACTCATTCATGAACTCCTCATGTCCTTGCCCTGACTTCTTCGACAACCTTTTTATGGCTACTTCTTCATTTTCAGGCAAAATACCCTGCAGAGAAAGATATTAATGGAAATTTTTTAAAGACAAGTAGACAAATTTAATATCATATTTATGAAGAACAATGTAATTAAGGAAGTTTCACCTTATAAACGGGGCCAAACCCTCCCTCTCCAAGATTATTAGCTTCAGAGAAGTTGTTTGTTGCAGCTAGTATACTCTTTAAACCCGAAAGTGGTAGTTCTGTACCATCCTTTCCACTTCCAGCACTACCATTGTCTTCATTTCTAGAAATTCTCTTCCATAAAAGATATCCAAAAATTGCTGCAAGCAATCCTGTTGTTGCTGAGACAATTGCAATTGCAATTACAGCCCACCGCTTCTTGAAGAAATTTTTAGCATGACCCTTACCACCTGCAAAGAAAAGAATGAAAAGGCTCCAAGTTAGTAATTATGGTAACTTTCTAGCCAAAATAACTGATTTTGCTTGTTTAATAATGAAAAAAGAAACAAAATTAATCGACATGCCTTGAAAATCATTGGAGCCATCCTCACAAACACGAATAGGAAGTGTTTGATTCTGTACAGAATCCACCAAGTTACCATACCATGTTATGCACCTCATAGGACTTCCCTGTGCCACATTTGCACAAGCATACGCTTTGCAAGAGCAGTTGTGAAGACACTCAGATTCACACTCACTCCTACTCTTTTTATTTTCTAACACAACAGCATGATCTGGTAGTTTTAAAAACTCAACCTTGGAAAACCCTTCTCTGTTTCTACCACATGTCAATGCCTTTTCCCTAACACATTCACCAGTCCAATACCCCAGCTCACTCCATGTTTTACTGTCATCCTGCCACAGCAGCAGGACAAACAGCCCATTTGGGTTCAACACAGACCTCAATTTCACTGAGGTATCCGAGACGCGATAAGTAAAATGAACCTCATCAGTATGATCATCAGACTCAACATTGAAAGAGAGGACCAAGAAGGTTGCACTGGGATTTTTAAAGGCTATTGATTTGGACTCATGGCCTGTCAAATTGTAGACAGCACTTCTCCAGTAGGGACCAAAGTTTACCTTCCGGACAACAACCTGGGCAGGCACTTGAAGATCAATGCCGAGGGAGAACTTACCGGGTTTCGGATTGTCAACTGCTGCCCAGGATGTAAGGCGCCTCTGCTGGTCAGTCCTCTTGTTAAGGCTAATCATCATGCCGGGCAACAGTGTGTCTGAGGGATGATCAAAGCTCTGCCACAAAGGGTCTTTTGTTTGATCTTTTCCAAATCCTAGGACAAGGTTTCCAGTGTCCATTAGCAACCCAATTGTGGCATTCGTTGCAGAAGCAGGGAGGGATGCATTTGAAGACCAGATGAGTGCTTTTCTTGTCTTTCCATCCAACACCACCAGATTTCCATCACTGCCCAGCAGAAAGACACCTGGAGAATCAAGTGGGGTTTCTCTATTGGCAACCCACACAATTGGTGGGTTTGGGGTTGTATTGTACCAAATGCCAAGGAAGTATTTGGTACAATTTTCAGGACTGAAGAAGCCCAGTGCAAAGTTTCCAGTGGGAGAAATCAAGGTCTGGTTTGCACTGATTGATTTGCCTGGAACTAATAAGTTGTGTTTGCTGGTACAAAAGGAAAATGGCAGCTTAGGAGAGAACACTAGTAATGTCAGAACACAAGCAATGAGCCTCCCCATTCTGATAGACAAAGGAAGAAACAAGGAGACGACTGGCAGGGGCTCAAACAGCGCAGAATGACAAAGTTTGTACCTCAAGGCTCAAACTCAACAGTGCCTAAGACATAAAGTGTTCATTTATTTATAGGGCTTGTCCAATATAGATCTCTACATTTTCTATTTCCTAAACATATACCCATCATTCTATAAATCTATATGTAAAACCCAATTTCAAATTTAAATGACTAGTATGATATAAGAGGTCGTAGTATTTCTATGTTTTTACATCATTGCCACCAAACTTCATATTTTATTTATAATTTATTTCAAGCATTTCATTAA